CAGAGGGCAAAAATAACTTTAATAGTAAGGACGGGTGTGTTGTGAATTAAAAAATTTTTTTTTAAAAATATGTCACGTATTGAAGGTGTAGATAGAGATTTTTGGCTCCGGGAATTCATTTTTTTATTATTCGATTAATTTTAGTTCAAAAAGATGACTGAAATTTTCTAAAGCCAACAAACAGATTTTTTGAAGATTAGAATTAAAAGCAACATTTGATAAAAATATAATTTGTTTAGGCTAATGTGGTTCAGAGTTAGGTTTAAGATTTACAGTTTTTGGGATCGAGAGTAAATGCTCTGTTGAAATCCTACAAAACAAACACGTGAAAGACACAAAACGTGAACTACAGTTTGTATCAATGAAGTGAACATTGACGTCATTATTCATGATACGAAGCTTGCTATGAAATTAAAACGCTGAAACCTTGTATCTTTTCTGAACAAAACTTACTCTAGAAGAGAAATCTTAGGGTTCCTTAATCAGCTGTTTTTATTACTAGTTATTTATACCAAAAAAAAAAATTCATCAGCACGCGTTATTACTTAACCTCATTTGGAGATCGTTTACGACGTGGGCCATAAATATACGTTTTTATTAGTAAGTGAATTTAATATAAGACACTATTTAATCTAAATAGGGCGTGGTTACTATCATCCTGACTGTTACTGCAAATCGTTCTTGTGCTATCGTTTAACGAATGTAATAGGCGTTTTACTATAAAATTTAAAATTAACCATATATCTCAAGGTTGGAGATTCACGTTATCTTATCTATAAGCTCCGGTAGCCACTTAACAACAGAACAGGCGTGAGCTGATTCGCTTGTGTAAAATAAAAACAGATATAAACAATTTATTTTAAGGACAAAAGTAAAAAATAAATTTTATTAATTTTTTTTGTCGACTCGCCAGTGAGAAGTCTCTTCGTCGTGTGGAATATTGTTGTCGTTTGATTCATTACGGTACAGGGTATGGTCGGCCCATTGTCAGCTGATGTCTGGCTGCCCGTTGATTTAGTACAGAGCGCAGCTTTTCGCACTGATTAACGTGCGTGATTTAACTGTTTGTGTCGCCTGTTTATCTGCCGGAGGTAATGTTGATGTTCGTAACACGCAGCTATTTGTATTGTGTCAAGACGGCGAGCTACTAAATTAACATTTGCACGAGTTACTTTCGTATGTTTGAATTCATTTCAAACTAAGGAACGCGTGGTTTGTTTTATCAATACGACGTGTGAGTTTTTAGTATTACTCATAGGTCATTTTATAAATACTAGTGGTCCCGCAGTAGTCCAAATTCGACTATAATTAATTGAAATTGTAAGTTTGTACACTATTATGATTGTATTTTATACTTCTTTAATCACAAATTTCGCCAAGACTACACTATAAAAAATATTAACAAAGACAAACAATATTTAATCTCAATTTGACAACAGATGTCAAGAACAAAAGTTTGACAATAAATAGTATGCATGCGTGTGTGCGTCAAATACATGGTATGTAGTGTGTGTAATGTTTTCTTTATTGATTTAATGTATCTTTTATGCATTATTTTAAAAAAATATTAGCATTGTGCATTTACAGATACTATTACCACCACTAATTATTAATAATATAGATACCTTGTTAACATATTGCTTTTATCCGCTTAATAATAATAATTATCATACGATTTTTTTGTTGTATAATGATAAATCTATTATCTTGTATGTTTATTTACTGTACTGTATAATAAACGCGGTTAATGGTAAGATCGACGGTATCGCGTGAGGTTCATGGCCTCTCTTTCCGCTTTGCTTTAGCTTGCTGGCTTACTTAACATGAATTTCTTAAAACTAACAGTAACTTATGTGGAGCCAAACAATAAATAAATTAATATTGTTTTCCAAATAATTTAAAGCAGTAAGTTATCCCCCTTTTGACCTCAAAAACCAGTACCCTGTATATTTATCACAAATTTTACTTTCTTCGATGAATGTGTATTGAATATTCTGAATATCCAATATAAGATATAACTTGTCATGAAAAAGTAATTAAGTCACTTTAGTAATTTAATTTGTGACTACAGCTATCATATTTCATTCGTTTTGATATATTTACTATTGTTGGTCGAAATGTTTAGTGAAACAAAATAATTTTACTCAGCGAATGTTGACTTTCCAAAGTTAAACATTTTAAAACAATATATACGTGGGCACGGACAAGTTTGTTTCGCAAATGTAATGAAAGGGTGGGTGCCGAAGTACAGAGAATATTGTATAGTCAGGGGCAGGGTGAGGGGTTGCCAATCGATACACACCCCTGTTCTGTACTGGCCTAATGCACCCCTAACGTAGTACACAGACATGTGTACGTAAAAGTGCAACATTACGACAAGTATATTTATCTAAATCGATCTAGGTCAGTAGCAAAACTAAAACGAGTTATTTAAATATTTGCCGATTATTTCGTAACTATTCGTGCAGGCATGTAGGAGCAATTGATGCTTTTGTAAGTTTTCAATAATTTTTTTATTGCTAATGGTTACCGGAGTCCATAGATATCTACAACGTAAATGCGCCACCCACCTTGAGATATAAGTTCTAAGGCCTCAGTATAGTTACAACGGCTGCTCCACCCTTCAAACCGAAACGCATTACTGCTTCAAATGAAGTAATTCAAGACCAACATTCGCTAAATCGGTACAGCCGTTCTCGAGTTTTAGCGAGACTAACGAACAGCAATTCATTTTTATATATAGAGATAATTCACTCTCTGAAAGATTCGCCTGAATTGCTATCACACATTTCATTGAACACTAAATTTAATACTCGCAGGGTCAACCAGAACCAATATCTTTGCATTATTAAGTTACAAAAATAGCATATCTTATTATAATCCAATTACCCGAATGTCTCGCACATATAACAAACTGGCACAGTCGTCAACTGAATTGGATACTTTTACATATTACTTAGGTATATATTAGCGATTTTTTATAAGAATGACCAAGGGCCTTCTCCGTGTTAAAAATAGATTAGGTAGTGTAATTGTTTCATGTTTAATGTGATTACATTTGCGATTTTGATTTATTGTTACTTCCTTAGATTAAAAGTTAGACTGGTTTTCGTTATCATGCTGTCTTGTCCTATAGTTGTAAGGAACGTTATGTACTTAGCACATTTGTCCTGATTAGTTGTGCGTGCATGGCTTAAGTTACAGGCCAAATTTTTTACATGCTGTTATTTATAATAAATCTATATATATAAAAATGAATTGCTGTTCGTTAGTCTCGCTAAAACTCGAGAACGGCTGGACCGATTTGGCTAATTTTGGTCTTGAATTATTTGTCGAAGTCCAGAGAAAGGTTAAGAGGTTGGTAAATATGAAAATTCCCGGAATTCAATAAAGTTTAGGTCTTTTATTTCTCGATTGAGGCACTACGAAGTCTGCCGGATCAGCTAGTAATAAATAAATAAATAAACAAAAATAGATCCTGATTTGGGGTCAAGTGACGGATTGTTATTTGTTCTCAACCGATTATTACGGTATACTATATGACTAATAGTAAAAGTGAGTTACGAAGCTACAATATACCGCCACAGTCTAGTCTACGGAAAACTGATTTCCTGTTCGTCTAGACTTGTTTCCCTACGAACTTTATTCCACGAAACGTACGTAAAATATTAATTTTACTCTTTAGTTTTACGATTTAATAGAATCGTTAATTTCAACGACCCTGTCACTATCAACAACATACCTTTATCTTATTAGATGAAGTTAAGCTTAAAACTATAAAAACAATAAAAGCGAAATTAATCCTTAAAAACAGATACATATATAATATATAGTTATTTTTTTATATGTATGAAAGAAGAGAACTGTGAGTCAATATAACGCATGACTAGGCGGAAATCATGCGGCATCTACTTAAAGTTGATAATAACGACATAATTTGGCCTATATGCAAAATAAGCTTGAATATACTGAAAAAAAAATTGTAAACGTCACACCCTTAACAGAGAATGGGATTTTCGTGAATACTGTGACACGAGGAAGTGAATTGGATTTTAGTGACACTTCAAAATCATCGTCAATTCAATCAGGATGTTAAAGCCGTAAAAGTGCGTTGGGAACGTTGCATACCCAAGACACAATAGTGGCCAGGAGCCTGACAAAAGCGAACAAAGCATTATTGAATGCATAAAACCAGTTGCGCGACGTTCACACACGTCTACAGGACGTTGGGATACCATTGAGTGACATGACAAAAGGTATTGTCCGGTCGGACTAGTTATCTCATACCACTACGCGCAGACATTGCTTGTTCCGCACTGATAATGCTATGAGTTTACGTGAGCTTGCGTAACCGTTTTCAGGCTTATAGAATTTAGTTTTCTGCTAGGCACATATTTGATTTGTAAAATTATGTCTCAACATCTGAGACTAAAGGTCCGATTTGCTTGTTTTGCAGTTGGTTTACCTTTTCTTTGAGTCTTTAGATCTAGACTATTTTGTTAAATAAATCTCATGTATTTGAACAAAAATGATTGTTTATTGTAGGTTGATCCATTCCTAAGCCTTTCATCGGATCATCATGAAACTTCTTCCAGTTGCTATTATTATTCCAACGACTCTTCTGTAATATGTAGTAGTTTCAATCATGAAGATTCGATATAGACGTAAAGTTTAATTGTAGTAGTAAATTTAAACAGTACCTAGGTTAGAATAACAGTTTTTGTTGGACTTTGTTAGACAAGACCCACCTCCTGTTATTAAATAAATACTGGAGAGACTAACACCGTAATTCGAATCTCACTAGCTACCTTGAGAGTTGAAATCGAAATCTGAATTGTTTTGTGTAGCGGTTGCCACTCTTATCAAGACATTTACGATGAATGGTGCGCGCCACAAAAGATAAAGTCAATCATCACAGCAATCGTAGCGTATAGAGATTTGAAAGATATATAATATTTTATTAGTTTTCGTTCACACGAAGTAGTGTTTAGACACGAAATATGCCAACACGAAAAAAATCAAAGTTACATCAAGACTTCATCGAAGTGATTTATAAATTAGCAGATATATTAAACTTAAAAGAGATTGATTATGTCGTAAATTACGGATCGGATGAAATAGACAGTTTTTCTAGTGGTACAAACAAAGTGGAGTTAAGTGGCTACGTCGATGGACAAAAAGTTAAACAAAAACTGATAGTAAAATGGCGTCCAATTAACGACTATCGTGATCACTTCAGAGAATCGTATAAACGTGAATATATATTTTATCAATATATCGGACCTAAATATTTGGAGATTCAACGAAATTTTAATGTCATAGAAGGATTGAAACTTAAAATACTGAATTGTATTTACGCCAGCGCTGAATATGATAAAGAATCTATAGTCGTACGAGATTTAGATGGGCAACGTTATAAATTTCATAATAGATTTTCTGAAATAGATTTAGATCACGTCTCCTTAGTTGTGAAAAACTTAGCGAAAATGCACGCATTATCTTTCGTCTGGTCCAGAACAGATCCAACAGAATTTCTGAAGATAAGGAACTTGTGTAGCAAAGACGTACAGTATTCTGACGTAAGCCGTGTCCCTAATCACATGAAATTCTACTATGATACTTCGGTTAATGTTGTATCTGATTTAGTTGCAAAGGAAAAGTTGAAAGTATTAAGCTCAGATATTTTTTCTATTTTACACGAATGTACGTTACCTGTTGAAAATTATGGCGCATTTTGCCACGGAGACTGTTGGACAAACAATGCAATTTTCAAATATACAGTAAGTACGTATTTCATTTACGAAACTGTAATAAATTTGTATCCTATTAAACTTAAAATTGTGTCCTATTTTAGGGACGGAGACCGATAGAAGTGATTTTAGTAGATTATCAGTTGGGCAGATATGCGTCGCCAGCTACTGACTTATCGTACTTCCTTTATATGTCAACTAGCGGAGAAATACTCTTCAAACATTATGATCGAGTTTTAGATATATATTACGGCACTTTAACAGCTGTGCTTCGCCAATGCAATCTGGACATTAATGATGTTTATCCTAAATCTATTTTCACGGAACATTTACAAAGGTATTCTGTTTTTGGGTTGATAGAAGCATTAATATCAATGTTGATAATAACATCTCCGACGGAAAAAGCCTTACAACTGACCGAAGCTACTGATCATCCACCAAGAGAACTGAACTGTGGTAAAGATTGTCCGTATATGACGGGATACGTGAAAAGAGTAAATGATGTAGTCAAGCACTTTTTCCAGAGAAAATATTCTCTCCGTAGTGTATTAAGTGAATAAAAATTATTCCGTACATAAATATATTTGTGTTTTACTATAAATAAACCTTTTCTATAGAGATGCATTTTATTAAGTTGGTTTACTATTGCTTATATGCTATATATTAATACGTAAAGCAAAAGCTTTGTACCACTTTTTACGAAAATTGCGTGGACGGACGAGTATGAAATTTCCCCAACTTATAGAGAATATAGAGGAGGAGTACAGAATGCAACTTTTTTTAATTATGCATAAAAAATACATAAATCAATAAGTATAAAATTACGCACACTACCATGCATTTGACACACACACGCATATATACTCTTTTGTTTATTGTTAAAGTCTGTGGTCAAATTGAAATTGACGATAGAACTATAATAATGTTCAAACTTATAATTTAAATTAATAATTATGGTCGAATTTCGACCACCGGGAGACCGCTAGTAAAACTAAATGCACAGATTATGCGATATCTAAGTAATGCATATAGACCTACTTTGATTTGTTTTTCCGGAAAACATTTGCCACACTAAATAGTTCATTGACCTTGGAAACAAAGTATTGCTTGCTTACTGTTAATACTAATAACCACGACCTTAAAAGAATTCAAAACAAATCATATAACTTATTTTTCATAATGTAATTCAAACAATCTTATAACTGTAGTTAATTGTCCGTGAGAGAGATTTTTCTCGGAAACCAGGATAAAACGAATGAAATCTTTGCTTGAATGAAAATAACGACTTTGTGGCAGATATCTGTATGAAAGGCAATTTCTTCAGGTTTTAAATGATCGTTGATTTTTTCTATGCATAAATTTTCCTTCTAGAAAACCATTTCTGGTTTGTATCTATTCAATAAAATCTGGTGCATGCTTAACCACCTGAGAACGGGAGTTGGTCACTGTAACCAGCTGCGGAAGAGATGGGGCTGGACGGAAAACGAAAGCTGTGAATGCGGATGCCCAGAGCAAACTATGCGCCACATTGTCATGGAATGAAAACGAAATTCGCAGGCCAAGTGGAAGATCTCAAAAATTTAACAGAAGAAGCTATCGATTATTTCACAAACTGTAAATTTAAATTATAACCACGCAGTGTAAACGAATGCCATACGATAAATAAATAAATAAATTTTGAGTTTTTCTTCTAAAACATTATGAATTATTCATATTTGTTTAACGCTGAACTTATCATAAATGGCGGTCAAAATATGTGAATTTCATACACATATTCACACATACTAGGTTCATTATATTCACCTCGTCTTAAGTAATATGAAATTTTAGGACAGGAAATAACTACAACAAAATTATGGTGTCCAAAGGAATTTAATTATAGGAAACGAAACAATCATGATTAATCAGTAAAAAGCAATAAATATTCCACAAGATTTTCACGAACACTATCCTTGAATCTAGAAATTTAATAGTAAACGGTTACATGCAATACCGTCTTTACCATAAGGGCACACGGGGCCCGTGCCCAGGGCCCCCATTCTCAGGGGCCCCCGAAAGACCAACAATTTCTCTCACACGTTTATTCTCAAAACATTTTTGTCGGGCACAGTACACTTTTTTCACAAGTCAGTAATCAGAAGGTATTTACAAGGCATATACTATGACTATAATAGAAGATTTTGCTCAACAGAAACCCGAAAGATACCGTTATCGAAATCGTAACCAAAAAACCAGCAGCATTCTAATATCATTAATGACATTTTATCATACTGTATTTGATTACCTATAATAAATGGTCTCAAACTCAGTAAAAAAATGTTATTATAATTCGCTTTTTTTACTTTCCAAAAGGGCCTCAAATTCTTGTGTGCCCGAGGGCCCCATCCTAGTTTAAGACGTCCCTGGTTACTTGGTTGACATGAAATATATTCTGGAAGGCGAAACCTGGAGTTATTGAATATACCATAGGCTAATTCAAGGTTTCGGATTTTCCTATAAAGGAGGAATTTCGTACAAAGGTTCAGATGTCAAATGTACGTAATGACAACAAGAGGTTAAATGTAATATATGTACAGTACAGCCCCTATTATTGATATTATTTTTTATTATTAATTTCAGTAACTTCAGTAATTTCAGTTTTTATTATTAATTTTTTTTTTTGACGTGCTTATTTCTTGTAAATAAAATTGAATACGGATAAGCTGATAAATATGAAACCTACATTGCTTACTAAACATAAAAAGAGCTATAAGATTGCACATGATACTTCTTTGAGTGAAGTTTAACAAAAAAGGCTGTAATTGTGAACTGATAGTTTTAGAAATCCATGAAACGCATTTTTAAAATTATTTATTAATATTTATTTCCAATTTAAGATTCGCTTCTATAAAAATATTATACTTTACGGAACAATAATGCTGAAATCATAATCGACTTGTGATTTACATGCATAAGCCCGTTGCGTACTTATAGTATACTCGTATAAGCATTATAAGCATTTTAGTATATAAGCATTTTATCGTATGAAATATTTTTTTTAACAAAAATTGACTTGAGTCGTAAATGCTTTAGTTTCTAGACTCCCAAGCATTTTCCACGCGAACCCGTTTCAACAGTGGATCACGCTCATTCCGTGATGTCCAAACAATTAAAACGCTATGAGTAAAAACATAATAAAATCGTTTTATGTAGAAGCAAAGTTTTGTACGGCAAATTGTAGCCCGAATGGCTTTTTGGGCAACCGTTGTATTTATTCAGTTCAGACGTAATCAATATTGAGATTTTTAAAAGTTTTTTGAGGAAAATATATTTTAATAACCATATAGCTGACAAATGTGTGACTGTTGGATGCTTGGGTATCTTGAATAAAACTTCCATAATCGATGTTGAGCTTGTATTTTCTTTATACAGTGTTTTTCTGATTTTTACGTTGCGAATGAGTTAGCTTGGCACGGCCATTAATTGAAGTGTTTAAAAATTGTGTCGGTGAATATTAAAATTTTTTTGTACATTGCTCCTTAAAAATTTGTAGGCGTTAACAGTGACAAATATGTAAAATTGCGTTTGTTTTCTTGAGATTATATTTATTTATTTATTATGTACCTATCTACAATTAGATTTAATCACATTAAATTAACTGTAAACTCTTCTATATCGTTCCCTCACTAATGAGCATCGCGACTACATGTGACGTTCTTCCACTGTGTTCGATCGTGGGTGGCATGGACCGCATGGTACAGACTACCACCAAGTGCTTCTCTTACTAGATCTGACCATCTGGCTGGTGTTCTGCCCACAGCGCGCTTGCCCTCTATGCGACCCGCAATTATGAACTTCTCTAATGAGACATGATGCATGAAAAGCCGGGATATCAAAAAGATCGATGCCTTTGAAATGTGGAACTGGCGGAGGATGCTAAGAATACCGTGGACTGCCATGAGAACTAACGAGTCCATTCTATGGCAGTTAAACATCCGAAAAAGGCTCTCTTCCATCTGCCGGGAACGCGTTATGAGCTTCTTCGGACACATCATGCGGTCTCCCAGACATGAATTAGAATTAGAAACTGTAAATTGTTGTATAAAATATTGTAATTATATAAACTCTAACAGTAGGCAGCGGCTTACATGGTGACCACTCACAATCAGGTCAGCTGTCTCCTACAAGGGCAATGAAAAAGCATAACAATGAAAGAAATATATATATATATATGTCTGTTTAATAACTGAACACAACAAGGCCTAAGTCGAATTGAAGAGGACTCAGTGCAGAACGTTTAAATGTTTTTCCACTTTGGACGAGCTCACAGTGCACCCGGAGCTAAGTGGTTACCGAAGCCCATAGACATCTACAACGTCAATGTCGCCACCCACCTTGAAATATGAGTTCTAAGGTCTCAGTATAGTTACAACGGCTGCCCCACCCTTCAAACCGAAACGCATTACTGTTTCACGACAGAAATAGACAGGGTGGTGGTACCTACCCGTGCGGACTCATAAGAGGTCCTACCACCAGTACCAACTTGCAGAATTTTAAAGCGTGCCTCAATGAGAACTTGTTAAGTACTTGTCAGTTTTGTTCCTGGATTGTGTTCATTGACCCGTCAAACGAAGTAAGCATCTAAATAGGCCCGACATAGTACTTCTACAAGGCGATAGGCTCTGTTAATAGTATGTCACGCTTTCCCTTATTTTGGATTAATTTGAATTTTTTAAACAACCTAAATCTTCGGCTTATTTAACATAATTTTAGCAGCGTGAATTTGGTGAAGTTATATTTAGCTTTTGAATACATTAATTAACACGTTGTCTCTTGAGGGTAGTTCGTGTTGATTGAAAGGGTTATTATAACCATAGTATAATAAATTGTAGAATATAAAATAATAAATTATAAAGATAGTAAACCTGTCAAGCACAATATAAACATGTCAGCTGTATATTTGGTATACGGCTTATAATTTCATATAAAAACGTAATATGTTTGACGTTTTTAATAAAATCTAAAATGTCAGAGAATGAAGAGTTTTTTTTGAAATTTGAAATAAAAAAATAAACATTGCCATTTAAAATTCAGAATCAGGTTGACACGTAAAGGTGCTGGTAATCCGGGGTTAAGTGTTGCGATGCTTTATTTAACCCTTTCAGTCGAGAACAAAGGTTTGCAGTAAGCCTAGGGTGCAGGTCGCTCTCCGACCGGGTGTTTACCCGGAAATGTTAATTTCGCGTCGGAAATATTTGGTTTTCACGGAATTATTTCATTTTTCAACGTCGAAAAAAGTTGTTTCTATGTAAAAAATATACATAAGTTCGAACTTCAAACTAAATTTTATAAAAAAAAATGTACTTATCAAAGTACTACAAAGATTCAGTGTGATATTAATATAATATGTATACATTTACATACCAATATTATAGGATAAAAAGTTTTTTAACTATAGTTTGTAGATATCTGTTAATTAAATAAGGAGCCCTAAGATTTACAGCATAAAACATAAAATTTTATTAATCTATCAGCACCATTATGAAATAGTATGCGAGGTTCAGCTTACATTATAAGTTTT